AGTAGTAACTAATAATAAGTACTAGTATCTAATAAATGTGTACTAGTATCTAATGAATAAGTGCTAGTGTCTATTTAATAGGTACTAGTATCTAATGAATGAGTACCAGTTTCTAATAAATAAGCACTAGTACTCAATTAATAAGTACTAGTATCTAATAAATAAGTACTAGTATCTAAAAATGAGTACTATTATCTAATGGATAAATACTAGTAAGTAATAATAAGTACTAGTATCTAATAAATGTATACTAGCATCTAATGAATAAGTACTAGTGTCTATTTAATAGGTACTAGTATCTAATGAATAAGTACTAGTGTCTATTTAATAGGTACTAGTATCTAATGAATGAGTACTAGTATCTAAAAATATGTACTAGTACCTAATGAATAACTACTAGTACATCAAAATTAAGTACTAGTCACTAGTAGAATACATACTAGTCGAATCTGAATAGTTGATTTCACAATGACGGATCCCTATAGAAGTCAATGGCAAAAATTTTAAATGTGTTACTAGTAACAATATAATAAGTTACTAGTTAATAAGTTAATGTAAGTTACTAGCCACTATTGAAATAAGTACTAGTATCTAATGAATGAGTACTAGTATCTAAAAATATGTACTAGTACCTAATGAATAAGTACTAGTGTCTATTTAATAGGTACTAGTATCTAATGAATGAGTACTAGTATCTAAAAATATGTACTAGTACCTAATGAATAACTACTAGTACATCAAAATTAAGTACTAGTCACTAGTAGAATACATACTAGTCAAATCTGAATAGTTGATTTCACAATGACGGATCCCTATAGAAGTCAATGGCAAAAATTTTAAATGTGTTACTAGTAACAATATAATAAGTTACTAGTTAATAAGTTAATGTAAGTTACTAGCCACTATTGAAATAAGTACTAGTATCTAATGAATAAATACTAGTATCTAATGAATAAATACTAATATCTAATAAATAAGTACTAGTATTTATTGAATAAGTACTAGTATCTAATGAATAAGTACTAGTATCTAATGAATAAGTATTAGTATCTAATGATCAAATACTAGTATCTAATGAATAAGTACTAGTAGTTAATGAATAAGTACTAGTACTTAATGGAAAATATACTAGTATCTAAAAAAATAAGTACTAGTTACGTTAAATTAGATACGTGTGGTTTATAGATTAAATGTTAAATCGGCTGAAAAATGAACTTGCATTGAAACTTTCTCAAGTATAATGCTAGAAAACCTTAAATCAAACACAAAAGAACAATGAAAAACACACATGTTGATCATGTGTTTCAGTTATTTATCTATATTTCTCAAGGAGTTCCTCCAGGGTCTGTCATGTCAAATGATTTCTTCACATGCTGAAAATTATGGAAGGCCGAAAGGGCCAAAAACACATGAATTTTAACACATCAACAACACGTTAAATATACGTATTTCACGTGTATTTAACGCGTATTTCACGGGTTAAATACATGTTGCTTGCGGGTGAAAAATCAGTGCATTAAATATGCATATTCAACACATGTATAACGTGTTAAATACGCGTTAAAAATCAGTTTGAACGGGTCAGTGTCAATGGCTGCTGAAGACTTGGGTCAAACCGTTTCTGTGAGCTAAAGGGGGTGTACCATTCTTAGACTAGGCTACCACCATTTAACATGTTATAGATCAGCTTATTCAGACTATTTATTTAGTCCTTTTTTGTCTTTTTATTTTATTTTATAGCGTATAGAAATAATTTCCCCACACAAATGTTAATGCTTTGATGCTAACTTAAGTTTGATCACTGTTAAAGCTAGAATTTCCACTAATGTGTTTATTTACAAAAAGGCATGAGTGTAGAAAAACGAGGCAATTGAACTTTTATCCAATTTTTCATAAAACTGCTATTTAAATATATTATTTCTGTAGGCTATACAAAAAAAAACTATATGAATCTATGAATGATACACCCCCCTAAACTCACAGAAATGGTTTGATCCAAGTCTTCAGCAGCAAATGACACTGACCCTTTTTCTAGATTTTAAACAACTAAAAGCCTTGTCCAAATATCCACACTTGCAGTCTTTGCACTTGAACACTTGACTACTTATATGACGTATTTTCTGTATTTTGCCCAAGAGTTCAAGTGAGGATGAAGACCACAAGTGTGTGTCGCAAGTGTTTACATTGCTTTATTTTAATTTTAAATACTTTGCATTTTAAAACCAACTTCTAAATGTCTGTTCAGTAGTCCCTATAACATGACAATTTTAATTTGTGGTGCTTCTAATTAAGTGATAAAAAGCAGTTGCAAATGTTGTACAAAATAAATATCACCACTACTCATCTTTGCACCAATAAAACGTAAAAACAGTGTTTTTTTCCAAATTATATGTAATAGCTAATTATTATATTAATATTTAACTTGCATTGGAAAGGTTTCTGTGACCTCTCGTGAGATCTCGGCAAAAAGTCTCACGATTTATTTCCAGAACATGATGCATGATGGGATACACTAAGCCTCGAATAGCGCTCCGGAGCTCTCTGGATTTAGTGTGCGTTAAGGGCACTGCGCTCTGGCGTTTTAGAGACCTGGGACAGTCTTGCGCACTTACTTTCTGTTGCGCGCACGCGCTCTCAAGTGGCCAAGACCGCAAGTGTGGGTATTTGGACAAGGGGTAACCCTCTGATGATCAGATTAGGCTACTTGAAAACAAAGTCCATCCTCCTGAGATGTACACTCAGAATTGTTAAAAACAACTGAATTGCAAGATGTAAACTCAGAATTCTTAAAAAAAATAAAAATAGAATTGATGTAAACTCAAAAGTCAAAAAAAAAAATTGCAAGATATAAATCCAGAATTCTTAATAAATTGCAAGATTTGCAAGACTTCTTAAAAATATTTAAACTCAGAATTCTTATAAAAGGTAAGATGTAAACTTAATTCTTATCAAAAAAATGCAAGATGAAAGCTCAGAATTCTAAAAAAAAAACAAAAACAGAGCAAGATGTTAACTCAA